CATAATACCCTGGTACTTTTCTTCCTATAAATTAATAATAATAGCACGGTCCACGTGGTGTTAAATGGGGTTCCTGAGGTTCGTGAAGTTTGACCCACCTTGAGACATGAGGTCGATTTCTCAAATCCGAAACCATGCTTCAGAACATACCGCCGTTAATTATTAATAAATCTCTTTGCTATCATAATACCCTGGTACTTTTCTTCCTATTATTTTACGTAATAACAGTAATAAATAGCACGGTCCACGTGATATTATTAAGTGGGCTCCCTGAGATTATTGGAATTACAAAATGATTTCCGTAATCCACCTGGAGACATGAGGTCAATTTCTCAAATCGGAATCCATACTTCAGAACATACAGCCGTTAATTAATAAAGAAGGCTGTACGTCAGAGTAAAGTTATAATAATACATCTCTTTGATATCATAATACCCTGGTACTTTTCTTCCTATTATTTTACGTAATAACAATAATAGCACGGTCCACGTGATATTAAGTGGGTTACCTGGGATTATTGCAATTACAAAATGTATTCCGTGACCCACCTTGAGACATGAGGTCGGTTTCTCAAATGCGCATCCATACTTCAGAACATACAGCCGTTAATTAAAAGATGGCGCGTAACGGAAAAATGTGACGCGTAACCGAAAAATGTGACGGTAAATTTTTTTCCAACGCCGATAAGGAAGTTTCACTTCAATAAAATATCATAAAATAATATAAAATTTATATACATGTATATTCATATTATTATACATATTTATTCACATACATACCCATAGTACATATTAAAACGTGTCAAAATTTCATTAGACAAAAAAAATACATAATATACTCGTAGTATATTAGATTGTAAGTATTGTACTACACATTAGATTGCAAGTCTAATTATTTGATGTTTCTGCGAATTCATTCTTTTTTCTATAGTGTTTCATAATTATTACACCTTTTATAATTTGATCTCGCGTTTTTTTTATTGTCATTATTATATTATTATTCCTGACGTTTATAGCCAACATATTTTACCACAGAATTCAAATATCGACGAATAACACCTTAGTCACACGAAAACCATAAAGCGTTTAAAATGTCGAAAATAATACATACAATGATAAATACAAAACGCGAGATCAAACCCTAAAGATAATTAAATTATTTCTACGATTATATTAGTCTATGACTTTCCAAGACCGAAGGCAGTACGATAGTCTTTAAAAAGATTGCACGCTGGCTTTTTTTTTTTCACATAAAATAAACGTTTTCGCATCTACCATTTTCAGCCTACAATTCGGACAAATTCCTTCAAATTGTTTTCGGTTAGCGCAATTTACTCGGTATTGTGTATTTTAAGAACCGACCGACATTTTATCAGCCGAGACAGCCTTTCGCAGCTGCTCGCTCACAGCCTTTTCGTTAATATCTAATACCTTTTTATTAATGGAATAAAAGCGGCGCAACGCGATTCTTCGCTTGCATATCTTTCAAAAAAACGTTGAACAGAGAAAGTGTATTTTCAAAGAGATTTCAATTTATATGAAGTATTGTAGCTGGTATGTAAATGGAAAGTTTTGATTCGAGCCCTACGCCCCAGCAGAGGGTAATAGGAAAGAATGATGATGATGATTGTAGCTGGTGGCTATCACAGAACACAGGATATTAACAGATGCCTTGATCTCGCTAACGACATTTTGTAACTATCATAGAACACAAAATATTTAAGAAATGTCTTAATCTCCCTAACGACATTTTTAAGATAAGTTTGCATATCTACAAGTTTGCAATGTACAATTCCGAACAATATCAAACAGCGCAAAAACCGTCGTTCTACCAAGCGATTAGACCAGCTCAGTGGAAGATCTTGTCTTTATCGTTACCTCCCTAAAATACAACATGCATAGCTGCTTTTTAACACGACTACAAATAACTACAAAACATATTCTTTACTATTAGGAACGTACAGGGGATAGAGGTTTGCGTGCCTGAGTGTACTAGGATGTTTTGTTAATAATGCCGACAATGTTTCTAGAATAGCATCATCTGTTCTTTGAAAATACTGTTTTCGTTTATGTTATTTTGTATTCGGTTTTTCATGTCGTACGTTGCTTTCAATACTTTGAACGATTAAATATCAGGAGTATCTTCGTCACCAATTTTTACTTCTTGTGAGTCCGCGCGGGTAGGTACTACCACCCTGCCTATTTCTGCCGTGAAGCAGTAATGCATTTCGCATTGAAGGGTGGGGCAGCCGTTGTAACTATACTGAGATCTTAGAACTTATATCTCAAGGTGGGTGGCGCATTTACGTTGTAGATGTCCATGGGCTCCAGTAACCACTTAACACGAGGAGGGCTGTGAGCTCGTCCACCCATCTAAGCAATAAAAAAAAATCGAAAATATTTCGTAATATTCGACGTTAGTTCGAAATACATTTTATTATTATTATTGGAACGAAGTTCCCTATGGGACGATGCGGAGGGGTACCCTAACCAGGGGAAAAAACGTCCGTAACGTAAGATTTTTATAAGTAATGTAATGTGTACGACTTAACTTTGTAATAACGTACAAAAAATAACATATTTTTTTATCATTCATTGACCACGATCCCGGAGTGTTCGTTTGCGCAATACACTAACTCTTATGCAAACAACCGTGAATGAAGTGTACCACAATAAGTTCATACGTTACCGAATGACCGTGGGTTGTTGCGAAACCTCCAGCTTTATTTTCTTTATACCTCGAATAGAACTTAAAATTAATATTTATTATAACAAGGAACTTCGTTCCTATCCGGTGTCCCACGACACCACACATCTTTATTTATTAGAGCTATACACCTATTAGGCAGTCGGCTTCGCAATACATTGGTACAAAAAAAAATTTGCCCTTTTAGGCATAGGAGAATACTGCCTGGCCCACCTGATGGTGACTGGTTACTGTCGGCCATAGACGTCAGCAATACCAGGGACAGAGCAAAGTCGCTGCATACCTATTATAAAATATATCGAATAAAATTCCATCATAATGAACCTGTGTAAAACCAAGATAGCGAAAGAAAGAAAACATGTTTCACATAACAGCTTTTAATATTGTCTTTTAAATTGTGCACAGGGATGTAGGGTAGGGCAGTTGTGAGGGCACACGGATCGGTGGCTTCGTCCAGTCTATTTTTGTCAGGACGCACTCATGCGCTCGGAGTGGTAGGGTGACCATTATTCAAATGTCATGGTGACGTTAATTTGAATATTAACGGTGGTTTTGTTGTTCACATCAATCCTGCTGCCGACCTTAAAACTCGAGGTCTAAGTTTAAATTTTATAGTATGACCGCTGTCCCACCCTTCAGACTGGAACGTGTTATTTTATTTTTTGTGATTGAGGGATTACTGTTGGTCCGAAGGCCTTTCCAGTTTCACCAGGACAGGTGGGCGAGCAAGAGCTCAGCCAGGAGGGGTGGGATTTGCTAACAACTGCCTTAGGCCTAGCGCCTCCGAAAGAGACCTAACAGCTCAAGGACAGCTGCTTTGCAAATGCATCTACTACCGGATCGGAATCGCAACCCGGTGAGAAGTTCTGGCGAGAAACACAGAGGGCTCATGCTTATATTAGGTTGCACGTCGAATTCTTTGCCGAGCTCAACGAGTACGATTTCCGGAGTCCCTAATACAGGAGTGAATGCGTTATTTTAGACCTGAGTTCGATAGAACATTTTTAAACGTATGCTAAATATTGATTATTTATAAATATTTTGGTTCTAAGCGAGCAAGTTAAATGAACACTGAATTAAATCTTATTACTTTATAAACGAGAGTAAAGCACGGCACGCGTCACACTCTGGCGCATTTACGTTGTAGATGTCTATGGGCTCCAGCAACCACTTAACACCAGGTGGGCTGTGAGCTGGTCCACCAATCGAATAAAAAAAATAAAAAATAAAATATAGCGACTTTCATAAAATGAATTTTAAAAAATCAGTCGTCGTCCTTAAAGATAATACGCCCGGTGCATTGGTATCGAACGATGCTACTTTGCTGGTGTTCGAATCCCCCAGGCAATTATCAATTTTTCCAGTGAAAAATATTACTATGAAAATGTTCAAGGAATACTTTCACGGTGAAGAAATAACAACCTACAATACAAAATCAAATCGGCAAAAATTATAATCTGTGTAATTATTGGTGATAGGGCCGTCTTGTGAGCCCACTAAACTTAAGACTTAGAACTCGTGTCCGAAGGTTTTTTTTTTTTTTTTTTATTGCTTAGATGGATGGACGAGCTCACAGCCCACCTGATGTTAAGTGGTTACTGGAGCCCATAGACATCTACAACGTAAATGCGCCACCCACCTCGAGATATAAGTTCTAAGGTCTCACTATAGTTACAACGGCTACCCCACTCTTCGAACCGAAACGCATTACTGCTTCACGGCGGAAATAGGCGGGGTGGTGGTACCTACCCGTGCGGACTCCCAAGAGGTCCTACCACCAGTGATTACGCAAATTATAATTTTGCGGGTTTGGTTTTTATTACACGATGTTATTCCTTCACCGTGGAAGTCAATCGTGAACATTTGCTAAGTACATATTTCATTAGAAAAATTGGTACCCGCCTGCCGGATTCGAACACCGGTGCATCGCGTCATACGAATGCACCGACGTCTTATCCTTTAGGCCATGACGACTTCAAAATGGTGGAATGTACGTGGTTGACGTCTATGGGCTCCGGTGACCACTTAACATCAGATGGGCAGTGAGATCTTCCACACATACCAGCATCAACAAAAAAAAATTGCAATCGTAAAAAGCACACAGTGATGTGAAAACAGATGACAAAATTAATCCGAATGTTACGCGGCTACGGATGCAGGTGCGAAAATTTTTAGCATCTCTTGTAGCCGTTAATGGAATTTAATATATTCCTGTAAATGAAGTACTAAAATGTAAGCAAATATTGAAAACGTTACTTCATTGGTCTCAATGTTTAAACGCTTTTAGTGCGAATCTTACTTGCAGATCGGAAATTACAAGAGCTCTAGTAATTAATTACTTGTGATTCCTGATACAATCACACAGTAATACTTTTAATATATTTAAAAAAAAAATTTAATTACTAGATTTTTACTATTTACACGCACCCAGATATACAACATTCATGCTTATCACTGGCACAGAAAAAAAAATTCTATTTTAATTTCAGTTTCATATGTGACTTCCTTATAGCAGATTCATGTAAATCATTTGTCATGTTTCTTGATTTTAGCTAGACCCCTCTTTTTCTTAGCACCTATACTACTAGCCATTTGGGGTGTCCTTATCTGTCTCTCCTTTGCTTGTCATGTCAATCATCATCAAGAACTGCTTCAGTAAGATCAATATTAGGGTAAGCCGTATTTACATCGCGTAGACATTCCATTACTTTTATTTCAACTTGCAGTTCATTGACGACCTATAAGTGTCGATATAGATCACTTGTGATCAACAGTCTATCTAAGAAGATTCCATCAGAAAAAAAAGTTGATATAAAAAGGTGAACTATAAAAAAGCAACCTATCAAAAGATATGACTATGAGCTTAAGCATAATTATGGCAGTTACTCCTATGCTTAATTTTCAGCTAAAATCTTAAGTTAGTTTAGGCAGAGATTTGAGTTTGGTCACGTTTTCTCGCCACAGTTTAAATAAAGCACGCCAATGTACATACCGCTCTAATAGATATAATGTGTACCTATCTTTTACATATTACGAACAAGAGAGTTTCTGACAAAATATTACAAAGACAACATTGGTAGTTTGCAATTGCCGCATGTGTTATGAAAATCACATAATGATACAAAATATATATATAGTATTCTATAACAGGTGCTAGAACAAAGAACCTATTTTACTTGTTAGTGATACATCTCGATTTTTTTTCAAAACATCTATATATTAATACGTGAAGCAAAAACTTTGTATCCCTTTTTACGAAAATTGCGCGGACGGAGGAGTATGAAATTTTCCACACTTAAAGAGAATATAGAGAAGAAGTGCACAATGCTAATATTTTTTTTAAATAATGCATAAAAGATACATTAAATCAATAAAGAAAACATTACACACACTACATACCATGTATTTGACGCACACATGCATCATAGATTATACACTTAATATATTTGACATGCATGCATACTATTTACTGTCAAACTTTTGTTCTTGACGTCTGTTGTCAAATTGAGAATAGATTAAATATTGTTTGTCTTTGTAAATATTTCTTATAGTGTAGTCTTGGCGAAATTTGTGATTATAGAAGTATAAAATACAATCCAATTAATTATAGTCGAATTTCGACTACTGCGGGACCTCTAGTTTTGTTAAAACCACCAATAACATTTTGTTATTTACAAAACCTACGATATAATAAAATACGAAATAAAATTATATCCTTATCCTTATAAAATACGAAGTAATTACTTAAGTTACCAAAACATAACCAAGTCTAGATTTAAACCTTCTGTCTTACCTCAGTGTACAAATGCTCATGTTCTTTATGAGAAAGTTGCGCAGACACACTTGGCAGGCCAAGGTCTTGGGGCATGGGTGGTGGGCGTTCTGCCCTAGCTTCGGCCAGTCTCAATGCTGCTAGCCGCCTGTTCTCCTGTCGCCAAGACAGCGCCGTGAAACTTTCGAAGTAAGAGCCATCCGTGTCTTGAACCCTGCGTACAAAAATACCAGAAAACCTTAATTCGTGGCGCGTGTCAAAGTTATGTTACGAAAGCATTTTTTAAATTACATTCCCGTGCGTCACGTAGGTACATTATCTTTCTGAAGGCTTGCTAAGGTTGAGGTGTCGTGTTTTATTTAAGACAATAGAATTGAGAATGAATTTTTTTTTTATAGTCTGCAGCGACTTTATTACTGTATTTTTAATTTATTGCTTAGATGGGTGGACGAGCTCACAGCCCACCTGGTGTTAAGTGGTTACTGGAGCCCATGGACATCTACAACGTAAATGCGCCACCCACCTTGAGATATAAGTTCTAAGATCTCAGTATAGTTACAATGGCTGCCCCACCCTTCAAACCGAAACGCATTACTGCTTAACGGCAGGGCAGGGCGGTGGTACCTACCCGCGCGGACTCACAAGAGGTCCTACCACCAGTACTTAATTACGCAAATTATAATTTTGCGGGTTTCACTTTTATTACACGATGTTATTCCTTCACCGTGGAAGTCAATCGTGAACATTTGTTGAGTACGTAATTCATTACAAAAATTAGTACCCGCCCGGGATTCGAACACAGGTGCATCGCTCAACACGAATGCACCGGACGTCTTATCCCTTAGGCCACGACGACTTCAAAACTGGTGTACTTCGGTATAGTTAGGATAAGGAGTAATACCGAAATTCATGAGCCATGACAACTATCTAAAAAACAGTTGAATCGAAATTCTGTCCCTATGTAATAGCAAAACACCTTACGAAATGAATAGTTTGAAAGAACTCTACATTATTTTGTTAATTTAGTAATAATTCACATAATTTCATTTCAATGAGTTCCAATTTGGTCTCACTTTCAACTAATCTAAGATACTCAAATAACGCGTATAAACTTAGCACAATTGAAAACATTGAAATTCAATGTGATTTCACAGTTTTCTATTTTATTTATTCACATTTTTTTTGTTACATTCTTATCACCCACTATTAAAAGTTTGATGTTCTATTAGATATTAACCATTTCTCATTTGAACATGCCATGGCCTAAGGGATAAGACGCCATGTGTACTCGTGCCAAATTACGTACCTACTGAACACTTCCAAGATTCAGTAAGAAGATTACCCCTCTATGTGATATATTTCCTCTAAAAATTATATGTTATATTATGATAAAACTATATAAGCTTAAAGTCATAAATACATCAAATGTTACTCTTTGTAAAATAAGATAGAAAATAAGTGAATAGAGTGGTGTCGACGATATTTCTGTCACCTCCAGTGATTCGTTTATCCCCGTCGTAGACAGAGGGAGTATGTTACACAAAGGCAAATAGACGTTCATAAGACGGAAATCCATAACACGTGCGTTATCCTGTGTTTGTATAAGTAAAACTAATTTCGAAATCTCTTGTACATATACTTAACAATATTTTAGATTTTTGTGAGTCTTGCGTGTGTATAAAATAAAAACAAAGTCGAAATTGGAAAAATGATAAAAATTTGTTAAAATTATTATATTTTAAGCCAAGTTCAGTTCAATTGTAAAATATACCAATGAAGTTAATTTATCAACAAAAAGCAAATAAGCTATTTCCTTTATTTGAATGACTATTTTCAGTATTTTTAATTTAGAATACACAACACTGAAACGTTTTTTATGAAGTTTTTATGAAATTTCTATGGGACCAATCTAAAAATATAACTTCAGACTTCAATAGATTTAGAAACAATTTGAGAATAAAAATAATAATTCCCTATACTTTCGTCGTTAAAACTCCTTACTACAGCTATTGTCATTCGACATTGCCGAGCGGCGAACAAAAAAGGACTTAAAACATTAATTCTGTACTTATCACGCTATTTTTGGTATAGAATATTTTCTAACTAAAATTCTTAATCCCTATTAATAAATGTGAAAATTATGTTATTATTTAGAATAACATTTCTATTATGGAATATAATTTATAATATTTATATTGGTAGTAGAATTTATACTATATCAATAGGCAAAGAAAAAGCTGTTAAATTTCTTTTCATCTTCCATTTATCACATGATTTTTTTTTTGGAACGAAGTTCCTTATGGGGCGATGCGGAGAGGTACCCTAACCGGGAAAAAACGTCCGTAACGTAAGATTTTTATTATTTATTTATAGTCTTAGTATGATGGCTATACAGTGTCTAATGTATAGTCTACGTGATGACGGTTATTATTATTATTCATATAAATAGATGTTTCTTTGTATATTATTATTATATATATTTTTTATAAATCATTGTGAATAAAATAAAGTTGATAACTTTGTAAAGTAGGTTTTTTTTATCAATAAAAAAATCATAATAAAAAATGTATACCCGAATAATTATTTTCTTTATACCTCGAATAGAACTTAAAATTAATATTTTTATATTATGGAACTTCGTTCCTATCCGGTGTCCCACGACACCACAAATCTTTTTTTTTTTATATAAGGTCACTAACTGTTGACGACAAGCGTTCCATTCCGTTCCATTACATACAAATATATACCAAGCTAATGAAAGCGTGTTAAAATTTGAAGCCGTATTTCCGACATCCTTGAAAGAAAAAAAAATTCAAAGCACAACATTAAGGAGAATTCAATATATAAAATGAATCTATACTGAAATATCTTAACCTTTCCTATATACAATAAATAAGTATATACCCTTGACGTAACTCATTTTACAAGCACAATGTTGGCAAAACGAAGTCGTTACACACAATATAGATCCATCAGGCTGTCGTCAGGTCGCGGTAACCCTTCGCCAAAGCTATCTCGTTATTGACATTCTTAAGATACAATGTGTATACAATTGACTCACAGCAACAAATAAATTACAATCTCACAATAATTGCGTGGTTTTATATTTATAGGCAAACGTTATATAAAAGCAAACTCGTCAATTGAGCTTTATTGTATTATTATTATTATTATATTTTTTTTATTTATACTTATTGTACACAAAAAGAAAATACAATAAAAACAGATTTAAAGAATGTCTAAATATTATGTACAAAGGCGAGCTTAACTCATTCATGAGTTTTCTTCCAGCAAACCATTAGCAGAGAGAAATACGATGTATAAGAGGGGAATAGTGTACAATATAAGAGCTATTAAAGCATGATTTTTAAACTAAGCATTAAAAAAAAATCTAATATTAAATGAAAAATACATATAAATAATAATTTTTTTTCATTATTTTTATTTATTCATTTATTATGTAGACGAGCGAATTAGCCCGTGGTCCATTTGGTATTATTACTAGAGATGTGAGACCTGGAGTCAAAGTCTCAATTGTAGAGTGTAATGATTGTCCCACCCTTTAAATCGAAACGCATTACTGCTTCACGCTAGATTTAGACAGAGATGCGGTATCTACCCGTGCGGGCTTACAAGAAGCCCTACTGACAGTAATTACGCAAATTGTATACTTTGCATATTTTATTTTTTTGACAATGATATTTTTTTCATTAAAGAACTCGTGAACGAATCATTCGTGAACATGTGTTAAGTTCGTATTACATTTGGAAATCTGGTAACGATTTCATCCAGATAATTACAAATACGTTGAATACTGATGTTGTTTTTTTACTATGATAGCTAAAACAAAAAAATCCAAATGAAAAAGGAACATTAATGAATGATGTATAAAATATATATAAGTAGTAATGAGACTAATAACAATGCTAACAAATATCATTTTTGCCGTTTCATGTACGTGAAGCCCAATATAATTCTTAACGTGTTTGTTTTCGTTTCATTATCGTGATAATATCACATCAGGTCAGTTCAAATTGAGACATTGGAACTGAGTCCTGGCTTTAATTAAAATTTCCTTCAATAATCTTGGAATAATCCTATCTCACGGGAAATGCAGCTATTGTCCGATCCGATTGGAGGCTATTGTCATTTACCTAGCGAGCTGTGCCTACGTTATAAGTACCTATAATCGTTTATTTCCACAGTAGGACAAAACAATTCTTATGACGCAAATAAAGTAAAGTACAATGTAATTGTCAAATCTTTCGATTTGTTTCTATTCTATTTAGAGATTCCTCTTTAAGATAAAATAAATTAATTTGATTGATTATTTTTTTGAGGTAAAACCCGGTATTATTTTGATAACAAAACTTCAAAAGAACAACAAACATGATTCAATGTTTTTTTTTTCTAGATAATGTTTTGTATTGATTTGCTGATTCGTGGAAAAGGAATGTTGCGAATGAAAACCAATACACATAGGCCCTCTAAACATATGTTTTTATTTGCGATTTATAAGAATACGGATAATAAGTATTGTTCTGAGAAACTACAAAACCAAACTAAGCCATATAAATAACAAATGTGAATATGCTAGTATTGTTGTTCTTGTATGTATTGTTTCCAGTTTTCGTACATTTTCTGCTCAACATTAATACAATTCATCTGTCCACAGAGTGAGTTTTCGTTTGTACGCGCGTATAATTCAGTGCGGTGACGTTATCTGGGGACACAGGTACACCAATCCAATGCTGTCCTTGCATTGTGACGGATTTCTACCACCCGATCCCCTCATACATGAAACCTCCAGTCACAATTAATCTGACACATGAATAAAAATAACTTATAACAAGAGATTTGTTTTTATAAAATAATATATCACAGATTGTTTGCCGGTTAAGGATCACAAAAGATATAAATTTTGCAAATCGTTATTTGCAAAATTTATATTTCAAAAATAACAATAAGTTACCTATATCGTATACAGTTTTGATTTCGTAAGTTTTCAATAAATATTCCACCCCTTTATAATTCTTGTAAACAATCTCAAAATGTTTTAAAACCAAATTTTGACTCTACAGCTAATATGAGTAAAAAACAATATAGTGTTTTTCAATTAATAACATAACCTATGTATTTAATATTTTCTTATATTTATCGAACTTATATGTTTAGAGTCGCTCATTTTTGCAATCATGCGATGTTTTGATATCAAATATTTGACTGGTAATATGTTTATTTCATTATCAAACCACAAACGGAAAAAATATATATTTATTCTTCTTCATTTAAAAACAAGTCACAAGCAGAGTAAGCTAGCTAGCAAGCTAGAGCAAGCTAGGAGAAAAATCGCTGCTCAACTGCGTCACCGGCGTGCGCTAACTGAACAAATCGATGCAGTTCAGAAAATCGTTTCTACGAGTATTCAGATGTCCAATATTAAATGACATTGACATTAATAATTAAATTAAAATGACATCCTAGAAATAGAAATTAAAATTTAAAAGATAGGCTTATCTACCAAAGGACTAGCTTTATCTACCAAAAATACTTTTCTATAGTTCTATATTTAGTATTATCATTATTTAGTTACAAACAACAGCAGAGGATTAAAAATACATATAAGTTGAAGATTTCACAAAATAATGCCAAAGTAAAATAAAAGTTTTCATTATTGAACATGGCGAAAGTATTATATACAAAACAAAATAGCCCATCGCATGTGCATTACGATAAAATTAAATCTAACTTACGGAATACTCCTGCTGTTTCAAATTAGAAAACAAATTGGAACTTCTCGTCGATAATTAGAATCCTTTGTCAGCTCACTAATAGCTTGATTTTTACTGTGTCCGCTTGCCGTCTGCTAATTCTATTTCCGATATGCATGCGATGGACTCTGATGCGAAAATGTAATCAGAAGGCTAACAAATTGAATTTCCCTCTCATAACATGACTCATCGAGCCAGCTATTTGATGACATTAAGGATGTTAACGAAGATGTCGTAAAGGGACCTATCAATAAATTATCAAAATTGAGTCGTACAGTGTTCAAATTAAATGTTCAAATAAATAATCAGTTATTGCTAAAGTAAACCAAAGGGATAAATGTGAACTTATAATTTATTTAATTAATTATAAGCTAGGATAGACTAGACTTTTGGTATTTTCTTATACCTTAAAATGTTATTGTTCTCTATAAAGTCTGAATTATGTCTCACTTAAAAATTACCCAATTCAATATGAAACAAGTGAAGTAGCAAAAGGTAAATATTATTCAAATCTTCACTCAGTCTAGTATTTCAATCAAAGAATTTTGTAAATTAAATCCTCCAATACTCACTAAGAGTGTTCGAGGTCGTCATAAACTCATCGTCGAGTTGGACAAAAATTTATTACATTTAAAGTGTCAGAATAAATAAAAGGTAATGGTCGCCGGGCGTTTTAATCAAATTTTCTGCTTAACCCAATTGGACTCCCTGTAGATAAATTGCTCCATCTAGTAATTTCCAGCTCATCTGGTGACCACTTTGTTTATTGACACTCTTATCGGAATGAAGAACGTGCGTTATTGCTACACGTAAATACATTTTCTACAATTCTAGACTATTCTTAGACTTAAGGTCTTACTAGTCGAGTGATCTTGAATCATGGTGCGCAGCCGGTGTCAACAGTCTTTGTGAAATATATCGCACGTACGGTGCTGTAAAGTCACTTATGAATTTTTTGTTAAAACGGAACTGATTATAAGAAAATACATTTTTTATTTGTTATAAGTGAGATGTTTGCTTTTACTGATGAAATTTAAAGTTGTAGGTTAAATAGGTATTATTGTTTTATTTATTTAGTCTAGCAGAACTATATACCTATATAATAAGATGTTGAATTTTCCAACGTTTCTCCTGAAAAATTACATAATTTGGATAAGTGACGTTATCGCACCGTATGTAGTAATTGCGATATTTTTTATTTATTGCTTAGATGAGTGGACGAGCTCACAGCCCACCTGGTGTTAAGTGGTTACTGGAGCCCATGGACATCTACGACGTAAATGCGCCACCCACCTTGAGATATAAGTTCTAAAGTCTCAAGTATAGTTACAACGGCTGCCCCACCCTTCAAACCGAAACGCATTACTGCTTCACGGCAGAAATAGGTTGGGTGGTGGTACCTACCCGTGCGAACTCACAAGAGGTCCTACCACCAGTAAAGAGGTCCTACCACCAGTAGAGTTTTAATAATCTAACGTTAACAGAAACGAAAAAATGAGATGAGTCGGATATATCAGATGAGTCGTGGCCTCGACCGTATGTTGAAGCCATTAAAAATCGAAAGATTCATTTTAAATGACTATTTCTGTCGTGAAGCAGTAATGCGTTTCGGTTTGAAGGGTGGGGCAGCCGCTGTAACTATACTGAGACCTTAGAACTTATATCTCAAGGTGTGTGGTGCATTTACGTTGTAGATGTCTATGGGCTCCAGTAACCTCTTAACACCAGGTGGGCTTTGAGCTCGTCCACACATCTAAGAAATAAAAAATAAAAATAAAAATCTAACAACATAGCTCCTTGAAAATTTACAGTCGTTATAAATTATCCCAAATCCTAAATTTTATGTCTTCATCGGTAACTTTTTAAATTACCCGAATTTAAAGCTCAGATTTGCGGAAAACTTCTCCAGATCGCAGTATGGTTTAATAACCTATAACAATGTCAAGATAAGCCGACTATATTGGCAAGTCATGTGATAAATTAGACTTCCACAAAATTGCTTACCCCGAGTTCACAGAGTTATCGACCTCTGGCCAAGAGAGACGTCTTTTGCAGAATGCCATCGTGGGTTTTTCAGGTGGGGCTTGATGACGGGGCACCCTGAGTGATCCACCTCGTCGTTGAGCTGGTGCTGGAGCCAAGCAATCTAGAGTGCGCCGCCGGGCACCGAGGGCAGAAGCGCCTTCTGTTGGTAGAACTCTAGGAAATCCTACAACCAAGTAAAAATAAATAGGTATTTTAAGCAAATTATGTATAAATATTGTCTATAGTTTTTTTACATACAGATACTTAAAATAATGTCTAACTCTTGTTACGTTCGCGTAATAAATTATATACCTACTTATATAAATCACCATTAAAGAACTTAGCAAATTTTGTGAAGATTAAATCTATTGAAATGAAAAAATCCTGTGATTTACGCAAACATTATGGGTCAACGCGGATGCCGAGAATCTCAGCTTTTTTAGAACTCAATCGTATTCTTTTTAAAACAATCGCTTTTGAATGTAGCGTAATATAAATTCTAAAGTAAGGTAGGTATTGGATTAAGTTTATTTATTTATTTATTTGGGAAACCAACAGTACAATACAAACTTAAAATATTTTAACAAAATAGCTATAACAATAACCAAACATGTTTCCACCATCAAAATCACATATAAGTAGAGACTGAATAAAGGAATACAAAAGAGACATTTAGAAATTTAAGCTTACACAAAAAAAAAGCAACACAATACGCACATATTATTATGTATATCAACTTACACTAGAAATCTTAATAATACTCATCGGACTAAATCACCTTATAAATATTCCAAAACAGCATTTCTATCTGCTTACAGGTGATAAACAAAAGATGTCAGCATTAGATAATTTAGTATCATACAACCTACAAGATCTACGGACAAAAGACAGTTGAAAAAAGAAAGTTGACAGAGCTTGTTACCACGCATAGTAGCGGTTGACGGTGGAGGTTGTTGTGCCTGACCCTCCTCAGCAGAGCGATGTCGTGAGGGCGGTGCACGCCGCGGTGATAGCGCCAGACCGGCCACACTGTCAGCTACGCCCGCCACATACTGGCCCAATGATGTCAAGAAACTCATGGTTGCACTCGCACCAAACACTTAATATGATAACGCACTCATTTGTGAACAAGTTAATGTTAATCAAAAACCACTCAACACTTCAGAGTTTCAACTATCGTTTGCTCATGATCGACGAAGGAATCTGTAACAAAATACAACTGTGTTATAATTTGAATAGTATAATTTATTGGTTATAGTATAGTTTACTGGCGGTAGGACCTCTTGTGAGTCCGTGCGGGTAGGTACCACCGCCCTGCCTATTTCTGCCGAGATGCAGTAATGCGTTTCAGTCTGAAGGTTAGGGCAGGCGTTGTAACTATACTGAGATCTTAGAACTTATATCTTAAGGTGGGTGGCGCATTTACGTTGCAGATGTCTATGGGCTCCAGTAACCACTTAACACCAGGTGGGCTGTGAGCTCGTCCATCCATCTAAGCAATAAAATATATATATTTCTTAGAGCTCAGAAAGATACTCAATCACACTGCATAAATGTAACTTATCCTTTACCTTGATTAATTTGCCCTTATGTTTCATGATTGTGATATAAGATTAAAGTCTCAATTGTTTGGAATAATGACCCTTGAAGCTGGAAGCTTCAGATTGCTTAGAGATGATATTAATAATATTTTTATTAAGATAATATTTTTGTAATGTCAAGAATCTGAAGTTATTAAAAAATTACGGTTGTCGGCGGAATGGCCACAAAACTTCTAACAATAAGGCCGGATAATAAACATTTTATGTTGTTCCACGCTTCGCGCGATTTGTTCTCGAATTAAATCCTTTTGTTGCTACGATGAGAAGGTATTTGCTACAAAAAATTTCGATTCGTTTGAGATTCATTCAAAATAATTTCTTCTTCGCCAAATCCATAGAAAAGCGAACAATGAAAGAATTTCAAGCGCCCTACAACCTCACGGAATTCAGGCAATAAGAAGATGAGATGAGCGAGAGCTTAACTTTTTCTTCAACTTAAGTTTTTGATAAGTCGAAAAAGTTTCGGAGACTGTCCTTCAGTTTATTTAGAATTCGTTATTTTCATCCGCCATAAGACCGTTGTCAAAAACTTATTTTTAAATAAATTTCAATTAAATTTATTGGTTTCGATTTTGGGAAAAATTCATTCACTCATCATTTTTAAAGTAGTCTAACAATAAAGTAATAGTAAAACAATAGTAGACTTAGTCTTATAATTAACTATCGAATTGCTTGAGTTTATTAATATATATTCATGATATATCATTGTTCTCAATTATGTGTATAGATGCTTAATCTTTATAATACTTACAATTTCAGAAACTAAGCTATCAACTAAAAATATCTCAGCCATATATTTGTTTAATATATTTGGTATTCGAAGTTAGAAAGTTCATATGTTATTTATTACTTGTTTGTCGCGTATGCGTGGTTCCGGTATCCAAAAAAACAAAAAAAGGCCTAGTTTGGGCTGCACTGTATTTTTCAGCCAATTTATTTTACAGTGTAGAGACTAGTTTTTTTTCCCCAAAACTTTGCTGTACCTTTTAATGGGAACTGTATCGATTCGAATATTTATGACGATCGACGTGCACAGCCTTGTTTTAAGCCCGACCCGTAATTGTTATTGCAATATTGCAAATAAATTCTTCCTAATATTACGGCTCAAAACTAGAAGACTGGAAGTCATATCGTTAATTGTTATTTAACATTGAGCAATGTTACTTAATTATGTGCTTTTTTGGAAATGTAAATTATAAACGATAGGATAAAAGGCTTAATTGAATATTTTATTTTAATTGAACTGAGGAAAAGTTAAGACAGTTAATAAAAATCCGTATTACAATTATTATTAATCAATCCTAGTTTGGATTCCACAGTTAGTTTTTCTGAGAAAATGCGGCAAAGCGTATTTCGATTATCTTTGTTACCCATTACGACGAAGTAGATACGAACACCAGTTTGGAGAGCATAATAATGAATTGCAACAGAAGATCTTCACTAAAGCAGCAGTTGGACTGTGAACTGCATACACAAAAACAGACATCGAATTGTATTTGAAAATTTTATTATGCGTATTTGTGCTAAAGCCCGCTAAGTGTAGATTAGGTTACGGTGTCATCGAACCGCTTAATTGTATTCTAATGCAATCACAGCGTTTACCGCCTCAAACATTTCTGCATAATAATAAAGCAATAAGTATTTGGATCACACTTAATTGACCAAAATATATGATTGATAAATAAATAATATGATCATTGGTCAGACGTTCCTACGGCGATCCTATTTTTTTTTTTATTTTTTTTTTATTGCTCTTGTAGGCAGACGAGCATACGGCCCACCTGATGGTGAGTGGTTACCGTCGCCCATGGACTTCAGCAATGCCAGGGGCAGAGCCAAGCCGCTGCCTACCGTTAAAGGCAACTTACATACCAACCTACATAAAACACTTTTTGTGATTTTGTAGTACTTACAGTTCTTTCGTCCTTTTTTATTTCTCTATCTTATTCTAGTAAATCTCTCCACAAGCCTTGTTTGAAGAAGGACATGTCATAGCGCTCGGGAAACACCGTGGAGGGGAGAGCTCATTCCATAGCCGGATGGTACGTGGCAAAAAAGACCTCTGGAAACGCACTATGGATGACCACAGCGGCTCCAGGTGGTATGGATGAACTCTACTCCGGTGGCGAACGGTGCGATGGTAACAACTAGATGCCGGTATCATCTCGAACAATTCCTCAGAGCAGGTTGTATGATTTTCCTTGCCGCGCACTCAACAATCTGAGACGTATAGCAGCAGCTATTCAATTGATAAGGATATAGTCATTAATTCTGTGGTTTAGCAGTATTATGTTAGCTCTGATAACTGCTTTTTGTAAATTTTGTTAGCATGCAATAATTATTGGTGGCTAAAATACCTTCACATCTTTACCAAGGCAGGTGGGCGATCACGAGCTTAGCCAAGATGGGTGGGATCCGCTAACAGCAGCCCGAGTACTTCCAAAGGAGAGCTAATAACTCGAGAGCAGCTAAAATATAACATAAACGTGAATGAGTTTTTAAATTAAAATTAAAAGCCGTTAATCTGGACAATTTGAAAAAATATGTTAATCTTAACCTCACAAAAAGATAATTTCCTATGTTGAAAATTTACCGAATTATGTAATGTTTGAGATTCAAACCTATAACCCTTCCTAAAATAAATATTAATCCAATCAAATTGATCGATTGTTTTAAAACTAACAATACGATTTCTGAATTTTAAACATTTAAAAACAATCTAAGCCGTTTGAAATCTAATTCATATAATATACAGACAACTTTCTTCTCTAAATTTTTAATAATATATTTTATTTTGACGAGCGAGCTTTAATATAAACTGCCGGTATTTTTCTTGAACAAAAAAACTCGTGTTTGTTTGTCAATTGACTTTCTTTATTATTTTGTTAGGATATTTTAACGGCTTTTAGAGGTTAGGTTAGATTGGGTTATTTCCCGCCTTTAAAATAAAAAAATAGTCAATAACAAAACATAAAACAATTCGGATCCTTGAATTGTGGGTGAAAGGTCGAAATTCGTTCATCAAGACTTAAATTCACAAGCCGTTTAATTTCTTCTGCGAAATAACCTTTGTGCAATTTTTAGTTCGATAAAAAGATTGAATTAGCTAGTGGCAGACAAAGCAAATTCATTCTGGCTTATTTGAAAGGCTTCGCAATAGACGAAACCAATTTTGTGTTGATTGGAAGACTCGCAACTACGTTCGACTAGAAATATATTAGATATGTTTTAGATAATACTCTATTTCCGTGAGAGCTTAACAAACACGATATCCTTTATATACGTTTATTGTATGTCATCATACAAAGGCTTTCTATTCATATCAAACTCCACATTGTTTACGTATATAATACAAATCCGTTTTATCAAGTGGAGGGAATGTCCAAACTACACTTCCCGTAGTCACTTTTTTTTTTCTTTTTTTTTTCCACAGGAGAAAATCGTCGGATCCTCATCCGCGCAGTGGGTAGGGTATGTGGGAGTTGAACCTCACTAAAAACTCCTATTGCTCACAGCCGGCGTCCTACCCCGGATCGGGCCGGAGCCCTGTCGGAGTTATTGAGACGGCGGGACAGGGTTTACGCAGAGCATATTACATCCATCCCGCCGTCCCCCAGACACCGGACTGGCGGCCGCCGGCGACAGGACCACCGGTTCCCACGGTCGACGGGCCGGGAGCCCACCTTGATGGCGCCACGCTGCACCTTGCCCCAGAGCGGTCGGAGGAACGCGGTCTACCATCACCCGGCTTCCTATTACGGGCGTGGTGTAAATCACCCCGCCACGCAGTAGTCACTAAAGAACTCTTGAGCTCCATCAATTAAATATTCCCTATATTGCCATAGGTTTATCAAATACATCGGTCATATCGATTCATGTATATCTTTTTTATTTCTGATCTACGCTTTGAGCCTTGAATCTATAGTATTTATAGTGTAACTAGCATATTCGTAAGGAATCAAAATCAATTTCTCTTTCGCCCCGCTCATCCGTCACGTTTCATAAAACGACCGAAGAAGTTATAGCACGTGATAAAACATATAAATCAGTGTTTGTTGAAGATTCGTTATAGATAAACGGGCAGTGACAAATGGTGGATAGGAAGGTCGGAAACACCGCGATAACAAGCTCGCGTGCTGTGCTGGAACGTAAAATGGCCGCCCGCCTTTATGAAGCCAACTATCCTATCTGTAGACGCCATACTACTGTGGCCAACGTGATTATAACAGTTTCGTTCTAAATTTTCGACATTTTTTGTCATAGTACTTCTTCAGATATATGTATAGACAGATATATATAGCCTTTTCGCATTAAAAGTGTACAATTTCCAAAAATATTCGAAATTGACTGCACGAACCACAGAGGATCATATACTGTATGTTTTTTTTTTCTATTTTATCAAATGGTGTAGTACAATGTTAAAATATTAAACTGTGTGTTGTAAAACACTACAGGAGCCATGACCCTCACAATTTAATCCCACTCCCCATTTTAAGTCCCTACTACATTGGAATATTTATTCAAACTAAAACCCAGGGTTATAACGCGGCAGAAATAGGCAATAATAACTAAGCCTACCTACCACCAGTCAAAAGTATATTA